GAAGGTAAGCTGACCCAATATTTGGTCAAGTCCTTTTTTTCAGTTTTTGAGATGTTATGGGGCCAACTAATTCAAACTTTCTTTTCTGCCACACTTATTTCAGCATCAAACGTCATCACACTTATCGAGGGAGGTGCAGCAACTACTTCCGGTTGTGCTCTTTCTACAATAACTGGCATTCCTCTCATCCGTCTCCATGGCAACAATGGGCCCCTGGACCAATGTGAAAAAACAATCCAGATGTCAGCAGGATACAAAGATTATGCGTATGCCACACTAGACATACTGAAAATCTACGAGTGGAAAAATATTGTTCTTGTTTATGAGGGTAAATTTGGTCAATTCCATGGCTTCAATATGGTTATTCTTCAGCTCCTTTCAGTGTTATACAAATAACATCTGGGTACTTTTGACACATTCAAAGCGTGTTTACAATGAAATTTAACTATAACTTAGCTTTATTTGAAAGTAATCATCGAAAACTGCCCGCAAACAAATTTGTTTCCCCCTTCTGTCGAGTCTTTTAATAGTCTTATTGCCCTGTTAGGTGTGAAATTTGTGGATTTTAATGCTTATTGTATGTTATTGTTTAGAGCGTCGAGTGCACGAGGCTGGACATTTTCTAACTGTTTCACAGAAATTACCGCTGATCATTAATTTAGTTCAGTTTTCTGGGTGCGACAAAAATAAAGAACTGACTGAACCGGCACACAGAGTGATAGAAAAAATACAGAAATTTGATGCCGAAGTTATTATACTCTACCTGGGAAAGAAAAACATCGAGCTATTGCTGCAACAGGTAATAATTAGGTCTTTGTTTTTATTAAGTCTTCTTTGTTTCATTGACGTAAATTTAATGGAATCTAAGTTTGAATCCGTCTCTCATTTTATGTCAGAGGCCTTGTCAACACGAAAAGACATATATATGGATCATTCAAGAACAGGTTTGATATTGGAACTTGCTATAAACATTTCAATTTTACCATCAGACCATTATTACTGACAAAAGTTCACGTGGCTGACGGGTAGACCGAAAATCGATTTGGACAGTATAGCTAATCCAACTTCTCTCGCCCATAATATTCCAAGGCCTGCAGCCTACTACAGTTAGCAATGACAACTCGGAAATTCACCTAGACAGTATTTCCACTAAATTTAGAAGCTGCGTGGGAGATACTAGCCTTCATTAGCGAACTACGTTCAGTACTTAATTCATTATTTCGACAGATTCCCTTGAATTTCACCTGGTACCAAAATGTGGTGATAGCTTTAAAATTACCGCATGCTGAGGCTTCACTCGTAGATGAAATGAAACATGTTGTTGGAGACAATTTTTCAGATTTTATTAACAAGGTAAGCTTTCTTGTTTAGGAAAGATTTATGTTTTTTGTTTTTAGTTGTTTGTTTGGTTTTCCCTGCGCTATTTCGCTGCCACGCTTCTATTTCCTTCTGACTGAGATGCAAAGGTATCTAATCAATTCAGAACCACACTCTTTAAGACAGTTGCTGTTAAAGCCATAATGTCTTCCGTATAGTTTGCTGTCACTGTTACAAGCAACAGACCATTTCAAAACTTCTCTTTCTTTATCGGACTCTATTATTAACTGCAAGTGTCAAGGTTAAACTGCATACTCTAAGTAATTATCAGTTTTCTGGACAACGATCTCATATTTGGAAGCAGCATTATAATATCTCGACGTAAGAGTGAAGCACTATCCTTATCCTTTCACTTTGATATTCTAAGGACATTTATTTTTGTCATTACCTCAGGAATTAGTTGCCGTCAGTCATGACGCTCTCCATATCATCCAGGAAGCAGTGAACACGGAGTCTTGTTCGTCGATTAATGGGTCTGACATTCGTCTGGAAGATAGGAACACAATGTTAACATGCATGAGAAAGGTGAGCATATTTTTCTTCCTAATCATTCTCATTTAATTCTCAAATTATATCCACTAGAGAGTAAAAGAACTCTTTTTGAAAAGTTCTTCTTTAAATCTGGGTGCTTAGACCTCTTCTTGGTAGTTGCAATTTTGGCGCTTATTTTTATTTCAGGTTGAAAATGAAATCTAAGAATCTTATTACCCTAAACCAAATACGTGTGTAAAGCTGAATCATGTTCACATTTCTCCGAATGAAACAGGTTGTTCTTCGTGGTATGACTGGACTTCTTCAATTTACTGAGCGTGGGGAGCGGGAAAGAATTGAACTGGAAATCTTAAATCTTCAAAACAATTACTTTAAGAGGGTGGGTGTCTTTTATCTACCTTACCACTTAACTTCATCAATGTTTCGATTTATTAATCCTTCAATTCTCAGGAAAGCTACTGTAGCAGCTAGAATTTGCATTTATATTTATTGTCAAGAAACTGCGAAATAATTCATTTTGTTTTTTACTCTACTGTGCAACTATTGAAATGCTTTTGCGTAAAGTTATGTAAGAATTTCGTAACGCTAGTAGCCGTTTATTACTCGCCCGAATGCGTTCTGGTTTCATTATGGTTTCATAATTATAAAATGGTTTCATAATCCTGGTTGTTAGTTGATTTCAACTATCTCAGCCATGATTGCTGTTTTTTGCTTGTGCAATGTTACTTTTAGCTAAGTATTTCACTTCCGGACCTGGTTACGCATCTTTACATCTAAATACATGTCCAACGTGTGGTATTTATTTACACCTACCGTACTCCAGAACATTGAACATCCTATTCAAAGTAGGTGACATTATAAAGCAAAATCTATTTTGTAGGTTGGTACGTGGAATTCAACCAAAGGCGCTGTTATGACTGGGAACATCAAACGCAACATGGATAGCCCTTCATCAAAAAAAACTTTGGAGGAAAGAAGGCTTCGAGTCGTTGTCTTATTGGTAATGAGCCTCAAACTCAGATATCTGTACCTATGAGGGATTAGTCAAGGAATAGTTTACTATAATGGCCAAAATTTGCCCATAAATACTCAAAATTATAGAGCATGATTTTCATGGGTGCGTAAGTATTTGGCATTCTTTATGAACAAGCTTCCTTTGAATAAAGTGGAAAATCGATGGCTTGCAAAATTGACTGTATCAGAGGGAGATGGAGGGTATTTCTTTAACTCGAAATATTTATTAATTTTTTTCATTTTCCGTCTGTGTTTCTTGAGATTGTTTATTTATTCAAGTATTTTTTGTACCACAAAAAGTGTCTTCATATTGCTCGTCACGTATTGTTATGAATTTCCATTCCTTCTGAATTAAAGCGGATAACACTTCGTTGTACCAGAGGGAAGCTAAAAAAGATCTTTTCTTGAGGTCCCTTGGAGAGATTAAGGTGTTCAAACAGAAAACAAATTAAACCACACAAACGTATAATCTAGATAGGCAGTCTATTCGCCTTGAAAACGCGTTGATTTAAAGCCTAATTATTATTATGATAATGTAATTGAATTTTCATCATCATCCGCAACAAGTTGCGTTACCAATTCAAAAACGATTATCGTTTAACCCTTTAACTACCAGGTCTGATGGTGATCTGATGGTCAATTCTCCCCTCCAGCTTCTACCTATTTCCTTTTAAATTAATTACAAGAATTTGGTGTTAGATAAAGACAACAACTTCTATTTGATGTGTTTCAGTATTCTCATTACTTGTTTGCTGGATAACGTATAAATATTGCAGGGAGAAGTTAGATTTTAATCACTCGTGGGAGTTAAGGGTCAATTGTTTTGCCATCAGGAAAGTCCCTACGTTGAGGAAAGGAGAAAGGAAGATGGCGGATTATTTTATGAAGGATACTGCATTGATTTTCTTAATGAGCTTGCAAGAAATCTCAAATTTACCTATGAGATCTACACTGCGCCTGACGGGAAATATGGCGCTGAAATGGAGGATGGAACTTGGAATGGGGTTATTGGTGAGATTGTAAACGAGGTATGCTCAAGAATTTCTCATCAAATTAACTTCTCGGAAAGGTCATATCATCAGAAAGCAAACACACTAGTCAAAATCAGAAATTGAAAGGCTTAAGTGGAATGGTATCGAAAATTGTCCTTGGTAAGGTCTACAAAGCTGAACAACAAACTCTGGGTAGGAAACCGATTTTCGGTCCGATTTCCTGACAATTCGCCTCAACCAATTACATCCATGCTCTCAAGCAGGGTTATGGCAGCAACTGTTGATTTGGACCTGCTATAACAACAATATATTGGCCTTTTGATTGAAATTTTCCTGCTGAAAACCTTACTGTATTATTTTACGTAAATGTGGGTGCGATATTACACAGAATAAAAAGATTTAAATCTGAAAAACGATTTTTGCGAGCTATGGAGTTTCATTGGGAGAGAGATACAACTATAAATACAGTAATATAAATCAAATTAATAGGCTGTTCTTTTATTACCTAAAAGCGAGCAGATATGGCCCTTACCGCCCTCACTATTACTGAAAGGCGAGAGGAGGTCGTGGATTTCAGTGTCCCCTTTATGCACTACACATCAGATATATTGCTGAAGAAAGCATCGTCCGAAGACAAATACGAACTTTTGCAGTTCATGAATCCGTTTGATAATCAAGTTTGGTTCGCTAATTTAGCCACCTTGGTTATCAGCTCTGTTGCTGTGTTTGTAATAAACTACTACAGTCCTTATGGATATAAAGATGATAATGGAAGAGGGACATCAAAGGAATTCAGCTTTTTCAACAGTGTGTGGTTTGCTTTAGCTTGTATGCTACAACAGGGAGGAGATAACACACCAAAAAGCCTATCAGGTGGAGTAGAAATTAATCAGATACCCAAGTGATAACTGAGAAGTGATGGTATTCTCGCTCTACTTATCACTGTTTCGTCACTTTAAAATTACCTGTATTTTTTTTTTATGTACCCTGGCCACAGTGCCTAAGCAAAGGCTAGAAAAGATTTTCGTATTGTCTATATACCTCTATAAGAGAAGCGGTAGAGTGAGGCAGACTGGTTTGAAATCCATAAATTACACAATGGTTTAAACCAGTGCCTTCCTAAAATCCACACATTATAATCGAAGCCTAACAATTTTACCTCAAATATTTCCTAGGCCGCATACTTACTGGTTGCTACTGGTTCTGCGTACTGATCTGTATCTCAACATACACTGCTAATCTGGCAGCATTTTTTACGGTGAAGAACGCGGTGCATCCCATTAATAACCTTGGAGAACTCACGGAATCATCTTACTCTATATCAGTGCTTAGCTCATCCAGTACGTCAGAGTTTTTCAAGACTAGTGACTACGAAACATACAAAAAGATCTGGCGTAAAATTGAATTGGACGGAACACTGGTTCAAACCATTGCACAGGGTGTTCAATGGGTGAGAGAAAAAGAAGACTTCGCTCTGATAACTGACGGGCCTTATCTAAGGAAGATTGTTAGCAAGCCACCGTGTGACCTGGAAGTAGGTAAATACTGAATTAACAGTCGGCAGTTTTATAGAGACTTTGTGAGTACGTTTGGTAATAATTCCTGTGCCATTCTATATCTGAAGTTGATTTTAAGTTACTGTTTGTAAATGACCACAAAATCAACACTAAAAATGGTTAATGAAACAAAAATTAGCCGCACCAAAACATTGTGCGAGGGATTTTATGATTTCAAACAATCTTCCGCCTATAACTTTTTACTCTGATTGGCCTGACAAAAAATTCTTCACATCAGACCCAATACATTTATTTAACTCATTGCAGCTATATCACTTGTAAAAGCATCTGATTTTTCCCCTCAGTACCAGGTTTAGGCACAGCTAAAGGATATGCACTGGCCTTCCACGACAACGATCCTCATGTGCATAACTTCAGTCTGACCATATTGCGTTTACACGAAAACGATTTCCTTGCCAGCTTGGAACGGAAATGGTGGGAGAGCAAAAGTAGCTGCTCAGTTAAAGAAGAAACATGTACGATATGTCAGTTTGATAAGACTTTCGTTTCCCACTGGAGTTTACAGTAATTGTGGTCCAAAACTCCTCTTCTGCTTGTCTCTGCTAGTTTCGTTATAGCATTGAATTAGGTGGACAACAATCATTTTAACATTTAATGAAGGTCCTCAATTTCCAAAATGTGGTTCATTTAATTGTAATCTCCATCCTAATCAAAGAGGAAAGTTTCGCCAAATTGATTGACTTCACAAATTAGCACAAGAAGATAGTCTTTAGTGTTATCGAACAGGATTCTCTTAAAGTGGTTTGAGCCCTTCAGTTGTAAATGGTTCACGTACAGAATCGATACCTCGCAACAAAAACCACAACATTGCTGCACATCAAGTTTTTATGTCAAGGAATCGGTAAATCCTTAGGCATATGGATGGAGGTGTACTATACCTTTATACAGTTTCGAGCAAACCGTGTCTTTCTTCCATTTCGTAGCGTTGTCTCGCAAGCAAATTGGTCTAAATAGTATGTTGGGTGTGTACTTGGTCCTGTTTGTTGGAATGGTGGTTGCTTTCCTGACCTTACTGGCCGAAATTTACTGGAAAAGAAAAGGTGAACAAGGTATGTCTCACGGAATCAGTGACTGTTGGATTGTCCATCTTTTATTTACCCCTTTTGGTCGATTAGATTTTGTGGCAAACGGGGCTGCAGGAGTAAGGCTCGAACTTTTTTTCCATGGATGAAACTGTTTATTTAATGCATGTATTTTTTTGAGGAAATCAAATAAGAATCAAATGAGAGGCTCACATTATTCTTTTGTTTTTTCCACAGGGCATAACTTCGTTCCATGAAAATTCGACCCTCAAGACCTTCTCGAATGACTCAATATTTTATGTCGTGGTATTCTTTTAAAAAGTAAAGAAGGAGTCAAAGATTGTGTATTTCGATCATTATTTCTGTTGTTTTTAATTTTAATACTATTTACTTTTATGTTAAATTCACGAAAACGCAAGGAGTGAGGTTGAAAGGAAGGAAGGAATGAGGGATTCTTCTTTGATTCAAATTCAAAAGTAATCTGCCGAGTTTTAACAACTCTTCCACACAACCTCATACTTTCATTGTTGTGTATGAACTGGTAAAGAAAAATTTCATCGCATGCGCTATTTATGAGAAAAATTAAAGTTTAACAGCGTACAGATCCTTAAAAAGAATGAATTGTTTATTATTCGGCATTACTCCCAAAGCTCTTGAGAAAACTATTATTTTGCTAGAAAAACACTGAAGTTGTGAAAATTCAGCTGGTCCGACTGATAATGCAAACTATCATATAAACTGCGGTATTTAACAAAGATTTCTAACCGGAAAAAGCGGTAACTTCATATGTGTAACTTGGGATTATGTATGACTTGACTCAGTCAATAAGCATTTTATTATATGACCATGAATAACTTTTGAATATTTCGAAAAGATTGTTTTTTACTTAAATAGGACGCGATAGGCTGGCGTGGGTTGTGTGTCTTCGTGTACCGGTACACAAAGGAACGAAATATTAACGAACTGCGTCACAACTCCACGTATGGATATGAAAACAATAGGAATTCCCCCGGGAGAGCCCCCTGGCGTGCATGGGGATAACCTCAAAAAAAGATTCTCCGATAAAAATCCTTCCTTTCCTTTTTCGAGTCAGAGCAGGAAATTCCGATTCATCGAAGAGCGTGGCTTATTTTCTCATTTCTGCTCACTACTGTCATTCAGTTTATGTTTTTATCCACTTGTCTTTCACGAACACATGAAATGAAACAAGTTTTCTTTAACCCTATTGTAGCATAGCTGTTAAGGAATGGCATACTTGTGAAAATGTCATGTACTTGTCAAATTACGAATGCTAATATCGAGACGATAGTTAGGGTTAGGCGTGCGCCAAATATGAGACTTGTGTGTGTAGGTTACATCAGTCGTAGGTTGTCTCGTAATTTTGTAAATATTAAATTTGCTTGCTTGGACACCACACCTCTCAAGCGTGACAATGTAGAGAACAGCCTAAAGATCTTTGTAATCAATCTTCCTTACTAAACGATAAACGTGGCTATCCTGCCTCTGTCGTTCAGGCGGGCCACCACTGTGCCCAACAAATTGATCGACAGTCAGCACTACAAACGGCTGAGAAGGATAGCACTGACCGCATTCCATTTACTCTTACATTTTACCCTCACAACCACGCATTTAAATCCATCATTCTTTAAAACTTTAAATTACTCCAAAACGATTCAGAGACTGGCACTATCTTTTCGCAACCCCCACTTATTTCATTCAAACGTGACACAAACATAGGCAACCCTTTGGTCAGGAGTTCATTTCAAACCAGTGACCAATCTGGAACTTTCAAATGCGCTCGCTCACGATGCAAAACTTGTTCTTTCATTCATAACGTAGAGAAAATATCGGGACCCAAGAGATCCATTAAGATCATTGATCACTTTACGTGTACCTCCGCCAATGTTATTCGCTGCATAACTTGCACTTATTGCAATAAGTTATACATCGGCGAAGCAGGAAGACGACTAAGTGACCGATTCCGAGAACACCTTCGCGTCGTGGAAAGAAATGACAAGGACGCACCCAAACCACTCGCTAGACACTTTAATCTTCCTAATCATTCTGAACAGCATATGGCAGTTTGCGGCCTTTCCTTACATCTAGGCAGTTTGGAAAGCCGTAAAACACAAGAACAAAAATTTATCTTCCAAATCGGCACCCTTAACCCCCACGGAATCAACGAGCGCTTTTCATTCAGCTAATTTATTCCTGTTTGCTTGTCACCATATTCTCACCAATGGCGTAGCTCCACTTTCTGTACCCACACACATCCCACAATTCCTCCGATCGCTCTAACGAAGGGCTAACGCTCGAAACTTCAACTTTTTAACCCTTTACGGTGGCTAATTTACGTTTTCAACTCAGTTGTTAACACTAAATTACCTGCCGTATACTCTCCTACCGACGCAGCACCACAGTTTCTTTAAAAACTTACCCCTTTATTCATTTGTCTTAAAAATGGACGCCTTAAGACTAATAACACATTTTGAGGCTGGTAAAGTGCAACTTAATCTTTTATTTATGTCAAATTACTTATTATATGTGGAAATTCTCCCTGTAAGTATATTTACCTACTCATAGCCTCACTATCCGATGGATAGGGGCCAAGAGTTTAAAGCCGTTGCCTCTCAACGATTAAAAAAGATGCTTGATGTTCTAATATAACACTTGAAATTTTAACTGCTATTAGGATATCATGAATAGATTAGTGATAATGATTTTTGAGGAGCCGTTTATTCATTCTAATGATTGTGAGTTTATTCAGGAGGGAGCATATTTGGGATGTTTGGGATGTAGGTTTGCGTCAAACTTTTTAATTCGCCTAGTGCGTCATCATTTCATTCCCATGCAACTAATGCCCCATTCACAAAGAAGCTTTAAAATGTTTTAAGGTGCTTTGTTAAACACGATTTAAATTATTTTCTTCATAGAAGCTTCTTAAACCAACATCTGTCGACTTTAAGTTTAGCAGAATGAATTACAAATCAGCGATAACTTAAATATTATTGAAAGTTCAGTTTTTCAGTTCTCCGTTTCTGAATTTCATCACGCTAAATCCCGTTCAAAAATTTCATCGCATGCGCTATTTTTGAAAAAAATTAAAGTTAAACAATGTACAGATCCCTTAGATTGGCTGAATAAACATTTCCTAGCAATATTTTCACACGTCGAATGAAATGGAATTTCCCACGTGACCGAACTCATCTCGTTCCATTCCCACTTGGTGTTGATGCTGTATGTATTTTCAACTAATAAACGATCGTAGCGATATGATCCTTCCACTTTCAAAGCGTTGCTTTAGAAATGAGTTCGGGAGATTATATGTTGGTGCTGCACCAATAAAACGGCAGGTGTATTGCCATTACTTAATTTCAACGTTGCAAGGAGCTGCTTACGCAACAACGTTTTT